TTTTTTTTACATATTTACATCATGGATAATAGTTATAAACAGAGTACTGTACAGTTATTAAAATTAAAGTACAGATAAGTGGCAAACCCAGGTTGTAGTGTGCAAACAGAGCAGGATACTGCAAGATGTTTAAATAGTTAAGAATATTTAGAATAATTAGAAAAGTACAGATTGTGTATTGTACCTGTGCATTAAAAAGTAGACATGTAACTTACAATAAGTTAGTGTATATAAATTGAGAAAAAGTAATGTGCAAGTTATAAAAGTAGTATTTGTTCGGTTGATTAGTGCAAGTTACAGCGCTGATGTAAACATCTATGTTTGTTGGGAGCAGTTTTGATTGTACAGTCTGACAGCTGCAGGGAGGAAGGACCTCTGGAAACGCCCCTTCTTCCATCTAAGATGCAGCAGTCTGTCACTGCTGACCAGTGAGTGTATATACAAAGAGCACCTATTAAAGTACATGAAATATTTAGGAGGAGGTGAAAAAAAGGGACAACACACACACACACACACACACACGAAATGACGTGATATTATTCACGAGAGATGATTTTGACATGTTTCACAGATTGTAGGCCAATAAGTCATTTGCAACAGTTTGCATACACTTTTTAGAAAATACCGGAAATCATATTTTTTGGCAAACGATCAGATTTTGCTCTGCAATATCAAAACAAAAAAGTAGGGAAAAATTGTGTGTCACTCTTTGATGAACAAACAAAGCAGGAAGTACATAGGGTGAACACTCTTATGTTTGCCGGGTGTGTGTGGGCGTGGCTTGCAGCGAGAGGCGTTTAATGTTGCTCAGGACTGCCGGAAGCTGGTTTGGTTGGTATGTGGGAGAGCGAGTGGTCCTCCGCAGCAGTCACGACTATGTGTAACAGGTGAGTTGTTTTGGTCTCTCCGCTGCTGAGTGATTAATCTCACCTGTGTGTGGATCGCATATCTGTTCTTGAGCTGTCTGAGTAGTCTGGCTCGGCACAAAGCCGCTTCTTTTGGCCGCTGCCTCACAGCTAAGCCTCATTAGTGAGACAATCTCGGGTCCTCTCTCCCCGCCTTGCTTTGCAGCCTTCTGCGACTTTCACGCATTTCCCTTTCAAATGAGTGCTTTGCGAGGCTGATTTGCGTTGCCAGCTATGTCTCAACCCGTTTTCTGATTGTCTTAGTTTGCGTCCAAGAGTGCTAACTGTGATATTTTGCCTCCCAGGCTTGGGTTGCAATGGCAGACATGGCTGAAATAATCTCCGTCAGCGCCGGTTTGCTCCTGCCTTCCTCTATCAACGCCACCGTTAAGGTCCAGGAGGAAGCCAGCCCGACTGCTGCCGTTGTCCCTGCTCCCCAGAGCAGCGAGGACTACCTGTTTGTGGAGACCAGGCACCCCAACACAGTCCTGCAGGGCCTCAACAGCCTGCGGCTCAACAACGCCTTCTGCGATGTGACTCTGTGCTGCGGAGGACAGGAGTTCCCCTGCCACCGCATAGTGCTGGCATCTTTCAGCTCCTACTTCCAGGTAAACGCACTTTTCCTCACAGGTATGTCCATACTGAAAACGACTCCACCTTTAGAATCATGTGTTTTCCTTCTCCATCCTTCTCTATCCTTAGGCGATGTTTTCCGCTGACCTCATAGAGTCCAAGCAGGAGCGTGTTGCCATCAATGGTGTTGAGCCTCAGATGATTGGCATGCTGGTGAGCTACGCCTACACATCAGAGGTCTACATTTCCAAAGCCAACGTGCAGGTAGTGAATCTTCTCACACCTCTTCATTGCCGTCATTCGTGAAGCGCGTGCATGCTTAGAAAGTGATCTGTGTCCAGGCGCTGCTGGCAGCAGCCAACCTGCTGGATGTGATGGCGGTCCGAGAGGCCTGCTGTCGCTTCATGGAGCGTCAGATGGACGAGATGAACTGTGTGGGGATTCACTGCTTTGCTGAGGCGCATTCCTGTAAGGTGCTGGAGAAACGCAGCATGGACTACATCCTCGAGCACTTCAGCACGGTCTGTCAGCAGGTGAGGGTGTGATGGAAACCCAGAGTAGGGAGTCGTGAAGGAGGTAATCTTGTATCACCTACTGTTAATGCAAAGCTGTGCCCTCACATAAATAATCAAACTCTCGGCGCTTCCTGTCTTCCTCCAGGAGGAGTTTCTGTCTCTGTGTGTGGACAAGCTGACGGAAATCCTTGCCAGCGATCTCCTCAATGTGCCCAAAGAGGAGACTGTGTTTGAGGCCGCCATGCTGTGGTTGAATAAATGTTCCTCTCGCAAACAGAGCTTTGAAAAGGTGAGAGGAGAGTTATTAGCAGGTAATTTCAGGCTTATCTTTAAAAATCAAAAGGGGGGGGGTTCATACATTTTTGTTGTTTGGTGCTGTCCTGTTATCAGGGGCGCCATACTCCATGAATGAAAATCCATGACCACAGCAGCTGCTCATGAGTACCACCCATCAGATCCCTTTCCATTTTTGTTCCTCAAAGGTCCTGGAGCACATCCGCCTGCCTCTCATCAGCCCCTATTACCTCCATGATGTGATTGAGTCTCTGGACGTGGTGAAGGAGAGCCAGGTCTGCCAGAGGCTCATCTCTGAGGCCAAGGACTATCTGCTGCTTAAGGACCGGCGTGGAGAGCTCTACTGCCCGAGAGCGAGGCCTCGCAGGTCCACTGGTAAAAATAAAAAACACTCGCGTCTGAATCAAAGAGCTAATTTTTAGCATTGCACTATTTTCTGTCAGCGTGCTGATTTGTTAGTGTGTATCTGTCTCCCCGTCCTCATACTCCGCAAGGGTTTAAGAATGCTCGGCTATTCAATGGAGAGACGATTATTTGGGTCTATTTTCTTCTATTAGAAGAAAGATTTTGGATTCCAGGTTTTTAGATGTTTGCTGGTTTTCCCGGTTTGTGTTATCAAACTGTGGACCAAACAGTTTAGCCTAATCCAGATGCAAATCAAGAGAATAGTGGAAGTTGAATATTAAATGGCTGGCAGCTCCACGCACTCTTATGTTGTACCATACAGGCTGCTTTTTTTCTTTTACATTAACATATGTGGCTCACTCCTCTCTTCCTCTACTCCTGTTGCCACGGAAACAGGAACCGCTGAAGTGATAGTCACAGTTGGCGGAGAGGACGACAAGGTGGTGCTGCGCAGCGTCGAGAGCTTTGATCCTGTGACGAGCCAGTGGAAGAACCTGGCATGCCTGCCCTTCGCCGTGAGCAAACACGGGCTGGTGGTCTCAGGTGAGGGGGTCAGTAAAACTCAGCCTGATGGGTTAAGACACTCTGAAATGCACAGATAAACTTAAGTGCTGAAAATGTATACTTCTGCTTATCCAATCACCTTTCTTCCCCGTCCCCGCCTGTAGATTCGACCCTGTATTTGGCAGGTGGAGAGTTTCCCGACGGCTCAGCCAGCAGAGAGATGTGGCGCTACGACCCCTGCTTTGACTCCTGGATGGAAATGGCACCCATGAATGTAGCTCGCTCGGAGTTAGGTGAGGGAGTCTTGGTAATTACAGCTTCTGTCTTTCAGCCACGTTACCCTATTTTGCTTCTCAAGAACTCTATAAACTATCCTAACTTTGTTTGATTCTAGTAGCTCCAAAAGGAGTCTTTTGATTGTTATAATCCTACTTTAAAAAATAAAAAAGAGAATCCAGACATTTCCATAGCAGATAGTAGAAAAATAGGTCCCTTTCTGCCATTTAATTGTTTTGGTTTTTTTTGCTGTTTGGTGCTGAGAAGCAGGAAAGTGCTTTGATATAAGTGCCTTTGTGTAGTATGAATGGCAATAGTAGATGTCTTAATCAATAGAAAAAGCTGTAAAACTTATGACAACACAGCTATAAGTTCAAAATCGACTCACTCATTCACTTTTTTTTTTTTTTCCAAAGCCTTCCAGTGGCCCCCATTGCAATCTTTGCTGGGCCAATTCTGTCTTTTGGGCCTCATGTTTGGCACCACTACCTTACATGATGCACAGTTCAAAATCTTTATCTCAAACTGACCCTTAATGAGCTGTCTTACCTCCTTTCCTCTCCATCTAACCCAGCTTCTGATTGGCTGCCCCTCCCAAACAGAAGGATAGAGGTGGCCATAGCTGTGCCCTTATGATCTATGCGCCTCCATAAGTGGAAAATAAGTCTAAAACTGAGCATTAAATGTACTTTAATATTGCTAATAGTGATGTCTTCTACATATACTGACTTAACTCAAATGTTGATCTACGTTAATGAGCGTCTGTCGTTGTAATGGTTAATGAATAGGACAGAAAACATGAAAATTAGACCGGGGCATGAGATGTCCAACTGTAAACTGAAGGACGGTTTTTAATAGCAGCAATGTTTATTTATCTGCTGTGCCTTCTCCCCACAGGCCTGGTGATGCTTGATGGCTTTGTGTACGCAGTGGGAGGGTGGGAGGGACGCTCACGTCTGGACTCGGTGGAGTGCTACAACCCCCACACCAACTCCTGGCAGTTTACAGAGTCTGTGAAGATGGCCGTCACAAGTCCAGCAGTGGTGGCTCTGGACGGCCTGCTCTACGTTACTGGTAGGAAACGCAGGTTTTTACACACGCAGGGTTTGTTTGTTTTTCTTGTTTATTTTGATTCTATGTATTCACTCGGGATGTGTCACGGCAGGTGGTGCGGTCTTAGAGGATGGTGACGGCACAGATCTGGCACAGGTGTACAACCCTAAAACGGCAGTATGGACAGAGGTCGCCCCCATGCAGATTGCCCGCTCTGGATCAGCTGCTTGTACGCTTAAAGGAAAGATTTACGTCATAGGTAACAAACTTATCATCCAGCCCATTAACTGTGCTTTGTTCTGGTTCCTAAAAGTGCAGTCATGTCTGTTAAATCCTTTTTTTGTAGGCGGATGGCATGCCTCGACAGAGAACACAGATAAAGTGGAGTGTTACAATCCAAAGACCAACCAGTGGACGATGTGTGCCCCCATGAAGGAACGACGCTATCGGCCTGGCGCTGCTGTCGTGGATGGCAAAATCTACGTCTTGGGAGGAGAAGAGGGCTGGGACAGGTGAGGAGCTTTCTAGAAAAGACGTTGCCTGTAAATTTCGTGTTTTCCAGGCCATTGCAGAGCTCACATTTATTTGAAATATTATGAAAAGGGGGTTAAATTCCTGTGGATTAAACACAGGAGAGGTCAATGAGGTTGTCTAAAGCTGATCCCGCTCTGCGTGCAGATATCACGACACTATCGAGAGGTATTGTGACGAGACGGACACGTGGGAGATTGTTGGGGAGATGCCTACCAGCCGCAGCTGGCTCAGCTGCGTCTCTCTCCGGCTTAGAAAGGACATCCAAGTGAGCAGCAGTCCCGGGACGCCCAGTGAAAATTGAGGACAACAAATGGGAAATCTCCTGTGGTTTTGTTTGTTTTTATTTTTTTAAATTGCACTCTCCTTGGAGATTATGCGCTACAAGACTCAGCTGCGAAGACTAGCGTGCTGGGGAGTGATGCCTGGAACTGGCACTGAGCTGCTTGAGCTGTTTCTGGGACCTGTTTGGTGACAGCCTGTGGAATAAGTCTTAATCACTTTGGGGTCCTTTCTTTTGTGGCTTGGCAGCAGAGGTGCAGTGATTTAACATAAATTATCTGATGTCCGCAGTCTAAACTCGCTCTGTATGATGTGAACATTCTTTAGTTTTATTGTCTGAGCGCCACAATCTGGATGTTTTCCCAGCCAATGGGATTATTTTTGTATTATGTGACTGTATTTATTGGAGGTTGATAAGATTAGAATGGTCCTCTTAAAAAGCTCTGTGGGCCAAAGAGTCAGTTATGAATGTTTTTGAAGGTTACCTGTGTGGGCGGGGCAAAGGTGTACATGTGAGTGTTTTTTGTAATTACACATTGAACTTCTTAGTGATTGTCTTGACTACCTGTTATATGTTAAGTATATTTTTGTAATGTGCGTCATGCATACTGGTGAATTAAAGTGAAAATGACTTGTAATAAAGATGTTTACTTCTTTACTGTGAATGCGGGTGGGTTAGTTTTTTCTTTTTCTTTTTACAAATGAAGCCTGAAAACAATCGAAAGTATTGATGAATGCACTCCTGCTACATTGACATTTTTAAAGAGGATCAAATACCCAAGATCAGAATCAATTGATTAAGTACATGTAGACAGCAGATGATACTGTCAACATGATGCAGACAATAACATGTATTTCATATTTATGGCTCAGTGTGAAGATGTTGGAATAAATAAGGGATGGATGACAATCTCATAGCAGCAGTAGATACAGTCAGCATGTTTAATGGTGTTTTGTTTTTAAAATTAAGATTTGTTTGTTTAATATTACAATCTTGAAATCTTCAATCAGTTGCACAGAAGACTTTGAGGCTCTTGATGTGTTTCTTGTCTATAGAATTGATTTTTCCAGTCAAATTTCTTTTTGATTTTCTTCTTTCTTTCTTTTCTGGTTCAGGCTTCTTGTCACCGCTTGTTCCGCTTCACCTGGACACAAACGTGTTTCCTTCTTTAGAGAAATGGGGGCGTGGCTGCATGCAGATTGAACATTGTTGGTTCAAAATCAGTCTGACTTCCTAACATACGCACGGCGGTGTGCACGTTTTATAATCATATAATTAATTTTACGCACATTTTGTTTGTTTGGTTTTTTTTTGAGCACAGCGAAAAAAGTTTCCACGAACATTTAAAGACGGGCTCGTGCTGCCTACGCGCGATCTCCACACAGCCACACCCACATTTATCTATTTAAGGAGACACGTTCACCTCCAGGTGAAGCGGAGAAACACCGACCGCAAGAAAAAGAAGAAAATGGGTAAAGGACAAGAAGCGCGTGATCTTTTAGCACGAGATGATAAAAACAACAACAACAACAACAACAAAATAATAAAAATCCAGATACCCCATAAAATCTGGGGGGAAATGCGAAGAAATTTAGACTAAAAGTGTTTACAGGTAGCAACGACGGAAGTCAGCGTTAACGAAAGAATAATTTAAGACGAAATCGTGAATGATTTTCAGTTGTAAGATGAAAGCCAAAACCATGGTGTAACTAAAACTGTAAATAGTGACTAAATGGCAATGATGATGATGATAATAATAATAATAATAATAATAATAATAATAATAATAATAATAATAATAACCTTTTAATTAACATTGTTTGGAGGGCTGATATCAAAGGCAAGATTTAGGAAAAGCAGCATTACAGTAAAAATGCACCAAGTTGGCAACGACTAAGTATTTTTCCTCTGCATTTTAAATACATTTTCTTAGGTGGCCAAGTTCACAAAATCATTTCAGTTAGTTTAATAGTTTTTTTTAAATAGTCTAGTTTTCTTTTCTTTTTTCGTTGTAAATCGAAGTTTAGTTTTTAGCTTAGTTTTAGTTTGCTGTTGTAGACTTTGTGTAGTTGACTTTGTGACATCCACACCACCTTTTTGGTACAATAACTTTAGTGCCATGTAAAATTGTATCTATGCTTTTCCAAGTTACAGGCTTTCCCTGATTTCCTGGGGCTGAGAAGTTTTTCCAGCATGTCTCATGTTTCACATGTTTACATAAAAGACCAGCAACAATTTTATTGTGCGTGGGGAAACCGATGCTTCATTAGCTAAATTTATCTCATTAAAATCCCTGGAGGCTGTCTGCATCTGAAAAACGAGGCAAATAAAGTTGAAATGTGTGGGGTCCACTATCCAGAGTGATGGACAGTGCAAAAAAAAAAAAAAAAAAGAGATGTAGGCAGGATGGAGTGGGACAGAAGGATAGCAGCAAACCTGAAATGAAAGGTTTACAGGATGGTAGTGAGACCTGCTATTATGTCACAAAAAGATAGAAGGTGAGTGACTGTAATTAACAGGTTTAGAAGTCAGTACATCTGAGGGACAGCTCAGGTTGAGCACTTTGGAAATAAATCGTCCAGAGAGGGGTGAGTGGATATACTGGACAAAGGATGTTGAAGAACGAGCTGCCAAGCAGGAGGAGAAAGGGGAGGAATGATGTTTATTATTATTATTTGCTGATGTTAATGAGCTCAAGGAAACTTGAAACACGCTGTGATACTTTTATTTTGAAAGGTTTAGCGACTACACGGCGCAGTGAGTTGTGGGTAAGACGTCAGTCCGCCGCCATATCTGTCTTTCTGTACCGGCTGAAGGAGAGAGTGAGGAGTCATGAGAGGAATACAGTCTCTGAACACTATCTCCGTGAGTCCTGTGTTGTGTTGGTGCGGTCTGAGTGGTGTCATCCGCCGGATCTGCTCCCTGCTCGCCCCGGTCTAAAAAAAACCGAACATTCGCTGTAGCAGTTAGCCTGCTAGCCCGTTAGCTCTCCAAGTTTACCTACCGTAAAACGGTTTCTGTCTCGAGTTAGGGGCAACGTTCTCATTCCATCATTCACACGTACTGAAAACAATAAAATAAATATCAAGTGTGCAGTATAAAATATAAATACAATTTGAAAAGCGTGTGTGCTCGACTTAGTTGTGTTATGTCGCCTTTTGCATTGCTGTGGTAAGCTGGATGTAACCTGAAGGTCATCCCTGAATTCCAGTTCACCAGCGTCTCTTTTGAGCGAACCAGGCCCCCTATTTGGTCATAAATTCGGTGTTGTCCAATTATGATGCTAGTGCATTGCCACATTAGTCCCAGACTTTGCTGCCGGGACATAAATGTGCACAGGTCACGTCAGGTCAAGCTGCTCTCAGCCTGCACACACAGGTGCTGTTTTGATTTTGTGGTCCTATTAAGACGGCCTGGTTTTAGGGGGGCTAGATCATACTTTTGGGCATTTCTGCAAGCAAAATTACTATTATCAGTTATGCAAACCCAATCAAAAGTAAAAATAATATTAGATGATTGCAGTATCAGATTATATTAGGTTGTTGTCTCAAGACCTTCCTAAAGCAGCTCCATGTGAGATAGAAAGGTGGTGACTTCCCTAGCTGGTGATATTTGTGTAATCTGCATGTTACTTGTATGTGTTAGCAGCTATTATGTAACATTAGAGGTCATGTTACTCTTTGTTGGATTAAGATTCCGCCAATCTAGTGTTTACACACAGTTTAAAGCAGCACAATATATACGGGATTGTGGCTATAAATCAGTAATAAGTTCCTGTTCTTATTTTAGCTGCTAATGAATCATTGTCTTTAATTACGGTGTCACCTTCCTGCAGAAACGTTGCTACGCAGCTACCAGGAGGAGCGGTAGTCTGGCTGAACCCCTATCAGGTCTGAAACCGTCCAAAGGCGCACCTCTTCCTCCCCAGGATGCCCAGGTAGGTGCTGCTCTCTAATCGAACAAAACACAATGGAAATCTAACTCACAGCTGGTTGTCATGATATTTTCTTCCGAAAAAACACTTCTGCTGTGTTTTGTGAGCTTTTGCAGTATTTTTCTAATTGCTGGTGTCATCTTAAGTTGCAGTATACCATTAGTTTTGTTTCTGTGTGAAAGTTGTGTGTTTTGTGTAACATTTTTTCTTTCCTCCTTCAGGTGTCCAAGCTCCCAAACGGCCTGGTGATAGCTTCGCTGGAAAACTACTCCCCCGTGTCAAGTGTTGGTGTGTTTGTGAAAGCTGGGAGTCGCTATGAGACTGTGGAGAACCAGGGTGTCTCCCATGTGTTACGACTGGCAGCGAACCTGGTAAACTGTGAATGAGCTTGTAAGCGTGTGATAGCTAAATGAATTATTCCTGAGATTATTCTTACCACAATAAGAAGGACATGACTGCACTTGTTTTTATCAGCACCTCTACCTCTAGCCTGACAGCCTACGCTGCTTACTTATCTTATTTTTGCTTTTGTAGACTACAAAGGGAGCGTCTGCCTTCAAGATCTGTCGCAGTGTGGAAGCAATCGGGGGCAGCCTGAGGTCAGTGAGCACACTTCATGCACATGCACACACTGACCGTCGCTGCTTTTGTTGCTCAAAATTATGCAGCGGATCACACTGAATCAGCTGTGTTGTCATCTCTATCCATGCAGTGCGACATCGTCAAGAGAGACAATGGTCTACACTGCCGACTGTTTGAGAGATGACATGTAAGTGCTCCCATATTAACGTCAAGATATTTTGTTCTCTTCTCTATTTTCATTAAAACTCGTCAGGCTGTGTTGACACTTCGCTGTCCTATTTGTGTCCAGAGATTCATTAATGGAGTTTCTGGTCAATGTGACTACAGCTCAGGAGTTTCGGCCATGGGAGGTAGACGAACTGACGCCCAGAGTGAAGGTTGACAAGGCTCTGGCTCAGCAGTGTCCTCAGATAGGTGTGTAACAGAAGCAACAGTTCATCTCGTGATTGCCTGTATTTTTACTGAGGAAATTGTTTTATCAGATGTGAAAGTGATTTTTAATTTCTAAAGAAGATCCTTGATGATTTTATTTGGCTATAATTACGTAAAACATCAAAAATCTTCTCGCTAAGCTGCGGTAGACCTCTAGGCTGTATAATGTTTTTGCTCTGAGTTTTGTGGCCACTTCAGAAATGCTTAACGTGAGCTGTTGGGATTGAGGCATTTTTTGTTTTTTTTGTGCCATTTCAGTCAGATCTGTAGCCTCATTGAGCAGTAAGCATTCCAGTCCCTCTCATATTAATGTAGATATATTATATTCTACATGGTTTCTGACATACTTTAATACTTGTGCAAAAGTTGTTTAATTAACTTGATCTATGAAAAAGGTCCTTTGCATTGTTGCTGTTTTTGTTTGTTTGTTTTTTAGATGCAGCAGTTTTTGATTATCCATATTTAAAGTTTTCATTGTGTCCTGTTCAATTTTCTCCTGCAGGTGTAATTGAGAAGTTGCATGAAGCAGCATACAAAAACACCCTTTCCAACTCTCTGTACTGCCCTGACTACATGGTCGGCCATGTTTCCTCTCAACAGGTAAGGATATGCGTTACATCTTTTTTTAAATCTTAAAGGTCTTAAAGGGTCTATTCAGTTAGCAAAATAGTACTTTTTGTGATGCACTTAAACACCTGTCCTCCTCCTCATCCTTCCCTGTAGCTTAAGTCATTTGTTGAGGACCATTTCACCACTGGCAGAATGGCTCTAGTAGGACTAGGTGAGTGTTGTCCAGCCTTGATTGCTTCATCACAGCTGCCCCCCTTCGTCATGTGGCTTTCCTACTAGGTAGTTAGCAATCTCCAGCCTAAGCAGTCTTGCTTACGTGTGTGCTTACGCTTGTCTTAAATCTCAATGAGGTAGTGAGTCACTGCTGACATGTCAGAACTATGTTCCACTTCACTCATTTACGCATGTTAATCTCATTTACCCATTCAGGTGTAAACCACTCGGTCCTGAGGCAAGTGGGTGAGGGGCTGTTGAGTGCCCGCAGTGGGGTTGGGGCCCCTGTGGCTAAATCAGTGTACCGTGGAGGTAGGAGCTTGTGTTTTAAAAATAGCAACTTTAAATTATTTTTGCAATCCGCCGCTGCCTTGTTCTCATGAGGAAATATTGTGCGTTAGGTGAGCTGCGAGTGCAGAACAAGGATGAGCTTGTCCACGCTCTGATTGCCAGTGAAGGTGCTGTGACAGGTAGTGCCGAGGCTAATGCTTTCAGTGTGCTGCAAAGGATCCTGGGAGCTGGTCCACATGTAAAGAGGGGCTCCAGCATCACCAGCAAACTGAGCCAGGGGATCGCCAAAGCTACCACACAGCCCTTTGATGTGAGTTGAAACAGGACAGCGACACTGGTTTTTGTAGCCGTAACAGTTCAAGTCCATTTTTAGTGAGTCTTTCTGAGATCTGTTCCCCCGATTTAACGCAGAAATCTGTCAAAAAAGCCAAAAACTGGCGCACGATGCTTTCCGTCAGTCTGGAACTGACAGACAAAGAAAAGGCTTCAGTGGTCTTTTCCTTTGATGACATCTCTCGGGGAAACTTCTCCAGAAATCTGCTGAAAGAACGATTTGCCTCAATTGGAGTATTTAGAATAGTTTTATTTTTTAGGATGCTTGGCTGTTCTTGTTATAAATGCACAGTTTCTCACTCTACATCAGATAACCTCTGGTTGTCTTTCAGGCCACTGCCTTCAACGTCTCGTACTCTGACTCCGGCCTGTTTGGGGTCTATACCATTGCACAAGCTGCCTCTGCAGGAGAGGTAGTTGCCAAGTTTTCTGTGTCTAACTTGATTTTAAAAATTTGCAGAAATGCCAGAATCGCCACCGCTTATTCTCTCTGTGCAGGTGATCAAAGCCGCCATTGCACAGGTGAGGGGTGTGGCAGAGGGAGGCGTGTCTGAGGCTGACATCACCAGAGCAAAGTAAGTTCATACAAAGATGAGTCAGGTGGAGTTCTAACTGGTCTGTTGCTCACTCCTGTCTGTGTTTGACACCTCTGTGCAGGAACCAGCTGAAAGCGGAGTACTTGATGTCGATGGAGAGCTCAGAGGGGCTGCTTGAGGAGATTGGTGCTCAGGCTCTCACCGCTGGAGTGTACCAGGCCCCTGACGCTGTCCTCAAGGCTATAGATGCCATCACCCAGAATGATGTGGTTAAGGTGTGTGCTTTCAGTGACATTTTAATAGCATGACTTAAGAAACAGCTGCAGAAGAACAAGCAAACTCCTGTGTTAGAAGTGATTATTGCAGTCTAGAGTACAGTTGTGGTCAGACGTTTACATCAACTCATTAAGGGAATGAATGTCATGGTAATTTGGGGCTTTTAATGATTTCTTTGAACTGGGTGGAATGTTTGTAAAGCATACATCTTTACATACATTGAATCTACATATCATCCTAAAGACTTTAAAAATATTTATACAGGGCTCTAGAGTGCGACCAAATTTTTCAGTGGTGCGACTAAAAAAAATAAACAACTGTTCGGGTAACAAAAAAAACAAAATCTCTGCAACTCTCCGTGTGGTCAACAACAGACACACATTATGCCGCGGGACCTCTCTGATTGGCCATGGTCCAGTTGAAAGTGCAGGTGGATAGAGGGAGGTGAGTAGCTTGAATAAAGCGATATCGATTCATTAAATCCTGAATAGACTTTTAAATATAACTGTGTTTTGCCAGAAACGCCAGATTCTCAGATTAAAGCTCACAAAACTATTTCAACAACCACCAAACAGCAAATGAGAGCAGGTACACGGATTCCACACAAAGACGTAAACACAGAGTGGACCGACGCATCAGAATCAGCTTTGTCTTTCTTGGCTTTCTCACCTGACGGCCCGTAGACGGACACGCCGTCGGAGCTCACCGATTCTGATGCGTCGGGTCCGCTCTGTGTTTACGTCTTTTTGCGCTAGATTCTGAGCTGCAGGTTTTGTCTCTCTTCAACCAAAATTCACCGAGCCAGCAGCAAAAGAAGCAGCAAACTACGCTTCACATTTGATAAATATCGTCATGAATTCCCTCTGAGTTTTGCTGTTTTGCTTTCACCACGATAAAAAATCACACTTCATGCACAGCTCTCTCTCTCTGTACTTCAAGAACAGTTTCCCGTCTCAAATCTCTGTTTTCTGCATTATTCATTCGCTTATTACCCACCAGTCTACCGTTGTTTACAGCGCTGTCGGCCACTGTCTTTTTCTTTTCTTTTCTTTTTTTCACTTAAATCACTCATTTCTGCTGTTCAATACTGAAGAAATTTAAACTTTTTAAAATTATGCAAAATTGCAGAATATTGCAGAACATTTTTAAGGTTATCTGCTATAAAAAGCCAGACCAGGAAAATCTCCTTCATGTTTTTCTGTGTTTTATTCTCAGTTACTTTCACACAAAGGCATCTGCTGTGATGTTCACAATTCTGATGAAGCCTCACATGTATCAGTACTGATAAATGATCAGAATTATAATATTTCTGACTGTCTGAGGCTAAATTGAATCGAATCAGGACTTTGAGAACCGGAATCGAATGGATTATAGAAATCAGTAATGATACCCAGCCCTAGTGAGTAGCCTTGGCCCAACAGAAGTGGATGTAGCTGTGGGTAATAAGAAAAGATGAAAAGAATTATTGATAACTTTTTTGTTAAGTTAAGGCCTGATCCGTCTGAAATTCATAGCCAGTGCTCTGACACGGTGCCATCAATCTTTGAATGCTGAAAAAGCACAGTGTATCCAGAAGACACATTATATGCTGCAATAAATGCACTGCCCAAGTGTCCCCTCTCCCCACTGCCTTTCAGCAGCATGCAACAGCAAACAGGTCGTCAGAGGAGGCCGAGATGATGATTAAGTTTAACATTTTCTACAATATTGACAAAGCACTTTAAGCACAAGTTTGTTAGTTAATAATTTAGAAATGAATATTGTCTGTATGGACTGCAATTTCCCCCCCAAAAAAGTGCACATGTAAAACTGCGGTGTTAAGCGTTGCGGTTGAAAAATTTGAGTGCGCCTAACTTTTGTGTGGTGCGCCCATGGCAAAAAGTTTGTCTAGAGCCCTGCTTATATATACAAATACTTGCATACACCCCTATTAATATTTGGTAAATGTCCCTTAGCAAGTTGCACCTCAGCCAGTTGCTTTTCATCATTAACGAGCTTCTGGTGTGATTGTGTGGGGATATTTGACCACTCTTCCTTGGTTCCTTAGACTTTTCCATTATTCTGAGTATTGGTCAGTCCAGCTAGTGCTGTTAAACAAATCCTTTCTATGTTGGCAAAGAGAAACTACCAGCTGTAGTCAGTCTCTCTCATTAGTTCACTAACGAGAAGTTAATAGGCGTTATCAAATGAAAAGGCATTGTAGAACCTTCAGCACCACTTATTAAAAGTTATTTTTAAGTAAGTATTTGAGGTTATATGCATACTTTTGACCCTGTGTGGATTAGAGAAAATCCAGAATAACTTGAAAATAGTCATTAAAGTATACTGTACAATCATTCCACCCTGAAAAAGTTTTAAAAAGTCATTAAAAATGACCATGACATCCATGGCCCTGTACATTTCTGACCACACTTATATACATATGGTTTTTAGATTCAATACATGTCAAATTTAAACCCATTTTATGGATTTTAGATCTGATGTCATGTCATTGTTACATTACTGGGTTGCAGTGGCAGCAGTCTTACCTTTATGTACCCCATCTGTAGTAGAGCGTGGGTTGGAGTCATAAATCATCCAGTAAAGGCTCACTAGTTTGTTCATGACCAAATAAAACAACAGTTCATTAAGAAGCGATGCGATAGATCATGTTGACAGTGCGTTTTACTGAAGGGCTTTTGGGATTATACAGATCATTACAGAGTAAATATTGTTTTAGTTTCACATTTGAACCTCATTTCAAATATAGTAAGAAACACTGTAGTTCCTCTGAGCACGGGTGGCATCCTCAGTTTGAAAATATATCCCTGAAGACTACACTAACAAAAACAAAAAGTTATTAAATTATGCGTGCAGGCTATTTATTCATATGTTTAAACTTGCATTTGTGTTTAGTCGCTGCGTGGGGTTCTGTGTAGTGTCGGAGCTGCGGCAGGGCTTCAGTGGACTATAAATACTGGGATATATTTGGAAATACTGCCCGTCAGTGAATTTGCTCTCTGTTTTCTTTACAGGCTGCAAAGAAATTTGTGGATGGCAAGAAGACCATGTCAGCTAGTGGACACCTCATTAATACACCATTTGTGGATGAAGTATGAAAATGCACATAAGAATAATAAGAACAGTTGATTTTTCTTTCTGCTTGGGCATGTTGTGCCTGGATTTTGCCTCCTGCAGCAGTTCATTGGATGTCACCTGTCATTTGTAGTTTGTCCTGCAGTATGTGTGAGCACCAACAGAGAGAGCGGCAGAATTGTAATGTCTGTTGGGGGGGAGAGGGTGGATTCATCAGTGTAACTGTACATCAGTGTAAATTAAAACAATTACAGTAAAACACTTGGGTTGTTGCTTGATTTTGCATTTTTGAATGACAAGTTTCTGGCATGTGTGCCGTGCACAAGTGCGGTCTTCTGCATGAGATTGATGATTCCACACCATCATCTTGAAGAGTGCTTGGTTTTGGATGACGTTAGCACTATGTGCCAACACTGGCAGCAAAAAGCTGTTATTTTAGGTAATGAGCACTTTTAGCACCAAGAGGTTTTGTTTCATTCATCAGCCAGTGGGGGGACCCAAAAGCGCACAAACAGAAGTTGATGTTTGAGGGTTGTCTTGTAGATCGTCAGTAAAAGAGCTAATACCATACTGGCAATAAACTGGGTTTCATTTAAAGCATAGAAGCCCTCTACAGTAAAGGCCTAAGCCATCTCTACTTCCTGAGATGACTGAGGTTGTTTAACATCTGCCAGCTCTCATCATGCGCTCAACATTTTTCTATAATTTAACAAAAGCCTTATTTTATGCCCCCGTGTATTTTGTAAGGTGCCTATTAATGTGCAGACTGACTTGTATCTGTCAGATGAATAGTTGTACACAAGATGTGGAGTTTGTGCAAAAAAGTAGCAGAAATTTGTAATTATTTAGTGGAATATGTGATATTTAAATGAGAAACTACCCTCTGGGCATGTTGTCCCTGCACACTCTAAGATAACTTATACTTTCCATTCAGTAAATGGCTATGAAATCAAAAAGGAGAAAAAAAGATGAATCCTTTCTGCACTTAAACATTGAACATTTAGAAAAGGGAGTCTAAGACTGACAGCAGTTATATAGTATTAATACCAATGCTGGTATTGGATTGATATTAGCGTGACAGGATCGATACTCTTACGTTCACAAGGTCTTTTAGGCCAATTAAAATGTGAAAAATTAGCAGATGTTGTGTGCAGTTATAACTATTAAAACACTGAAATTTCTCAAATGAAAACCAATGAGCAGTTTATTATGAAAGACCCTGTTTTTTCTCTTATTATTGGTCATCATTAAGACAAAAGTGTTTTTATACATTACTCGATTTGTGTTAAATATGTTATTTTTAGAAATGAAAAAAAAAAAAACCCTCATGTTCTTTTGTGTTGACTGTCAGGTATATTTTATTTATAACCTTTGGGGCAATTAAGAGAAGTTGAGCCGCTTTGGAGACCTGCACAATTATATTCAAGGTCTCCAAAAAAAACAAACAGTTTCAAAATAAATGAAAAGCTGAAAGGTGTTAACTTATTATTGTGGAAAATAAAAATCAGTGATTTAGTAATTACTAAAATATGTTCACTGTTTGCAAACAAATGATTCCTCTCATACATCATAAGCTGCCTATTATAGGCTAAAAGTATCAGTATCGGTATCGGCAGTGCTCGCTCTGTGTTTACTTGGTATCGGGTCCATGCCAGCATTTGCAGGATCGCACAGCACTATTTTCAGGACAAAAGACCCCCAGTCTTCACACAGTATCGCGAGATACCTCCCCACCGAACGTGAAGACACCGAGGTGTGTGTATGTGTGTGTGTGTTTGTGACGCTGCGTGGGGGTGTCCGCCTGATGTCATTAAGCAGGAGGGGAGGTTGAGCTAGCGGTGGGCATACGGGTGGAAAGCATAACAATAACGTCCAGGCTAGGACTCACAGCGTTGCTTTTGGGTTGAAATACGCAGCGTTTTAAACTCCGGGCTTCCCATCACCGTGGTCCGGAGCAGGAGACCACAGGAGTCGGGTAGAGGCTGGCAGGCTAACGGACCGAAAGCACCAGATGCTATTCCAGCGGAGAAGGAGAACGGGGTCCCAGCAGCAGCAGAGGGTGATGGGTTCTCGTTTCCCTGACGGGTAACAACAAACCTAAGCTAAAGACAGAAATAAACGCGGATATTGCCAAGTGAGGGGAGCTTTCTTCTGTTCTCCGGCACCACCGTTTGTGTGACATTGTTCCTGAAATGCTAGCGCAGTTGCGGTCTCGGCCGTCGAGCAGCCTCTGGGCCGCAGCTCGGCACACCGAGCCCGAATCTGGGAAATAGCTAGCTAGCTGCCTGCTAGCCGCAGCTGTACCCCGATGCCGCTGCTGCTGCGGCTGCAGCTGTTAAAACGGATCCAAAAAACAACTCAAGCTGTTTGGGGACTCGGTGCTGATTAAATTATCGTTTTACATTAGCGAGCTACAGAAAGCACTTGAGATGTGATGCTTTTGTGCCTCGTATTTGAGCCTTTTGTAGCTGGAGGCTTTCGCTTGGCTGACGCGAAGGAGCTAATGTTGCTGCAAAATGCACAGCAGAACCACAACAGCAGGCTCCTGTTGAAGGGGGCGAGGTTGGACTGATAACGGCCACGGTGTCTCTCAGCACCCCCGGAGTCACATTTTGGAGATTTTCCCACGTCATTCACAGCTTTCTCGGCTGGCGACATGGATAAACTAACGATCATTTCAGGGTGTCTGTTTCTGGCAGCAGATATCTTTGCAATAGCCAGCATTGCAAACCCGGACTGGATCAACACCGGTGAATCAGCAGGTAAACAAGGCTGGCCATTTAAAGCCCTTTTGTGGGAGTGTGTGCGTGTTCTGTCTTTATATTGCAGCAGTGTGTGCCATGAGGTGATCTAAAGAGAGAAATATCCCATTGTGTGTGCAAGAGTTTCATCTGCAGCATCGTCTTTTGTCTTTCACAGCAGCAGCAGCATTGTTTGTAAAGATGATCGGTTTCATAATTGATTAATCAGCACTTTGGACCTCCGACACAGACTTGTCACTACTTGTTCTTTTCAATCAATTGTTGAGCCTATATAGTGTCATAAACATGTCCATCATGAGACTGAGGGATGTTCCTGTGTACATCAATATCTACCTTGTTGACAGACAGCTGATGTTTGCATAGCAGTGGCTTATGTTTAGTCATTTTTGTAGTGAATGTTTCCCTTTTTTATGACAAAAAAGGAGAAATAAATAACAGAAAAACATTTTTTAACATTAGTGTGTCACATTGTTTTCCAAGCATAAAACCCACCTGCAAACAATTACATGAAATTCACAAAGAAAGTGCAAGATATTTGAAAAGCTAGAGCTGGAGACTGTTTCTTTAGGAAAGCTGTAGAACAGCTGGCTGATGAAATGGTGAGCTGAGTGTGTTTTTAAAGTAATTTATCAAGGAAAAAAAGACAAATTATTGCTTGGACCACCTTGTAAAATCAGCCAAAGATTCCTTTTTTTGATTTCAGCATCTATAAACTCAGCATCTTTAGATTAAAAAAAAATCCAATCACGTTATTGCTTACATATTACTTTCAGACATTAAGAAGATTCACGAAGCACTAAAAGTAATCCTGAGTTAATGCAGTTGACTTGACTTTTGAAGCGACCTCCGTGTGATCAGTCCCATAGCCAGCATGTTTATTTGTGGCGCTCCGGCTGATTTGGGATGGAAGCACGTGCTGTTCGGGCCGTTGACAGACAGCTGCTACTCTTTGTTCCCTCTGCAGGATGACAGCTTAGTAACTGGGTCATGGAGGGTTCATCATCCACCAGTACACATGCACACTGCGTTTGCTTGGTGGAATAACTAATCTGCAAAAAAAAAAAAGTCTTAATAGGATGCTGATGAAATGAGGACGTTGTCTACAGTGACTTCAATTTGATCGAGCTGCGTAATTGGTCTCCAGTGCAGTTTAGTTCTGGACACTTTGTCTCAGTTCATCTAAACTTAGCACACTGCAGCCACAAGAAGTGTGCATGGTGACTGCACGCTGAGATCTTCAGTTCTGTACCTGCATGTGATGAAAGTTGAGCCATTGCTATATTTGAAGTGGAGGATTGTGATGAGTGTGGGCGTTGTTATTGGGGTGGATGTTGTACAGTGATCAGGTTCCCTGTTGCTGTCACTCTTCTCACTTCCCTTCACAGGTATCACATTTCTCTTTGATGACTGAGATGTGGCCACTCTTGGATGGTTTTGTGTGGCATGTGGGTGATAAACCACTCGTGTTCATCTTTTTCACACCTTTTAAATTGTTTTTTCTCTTGTCATTTTAATAATATATGAAGCATTTGAAATGCATAATAGGAGCTTGACGTAGGTTTACAATGAGTGTTAGTCAACGTTATGTAATGTCTTTTCAGTAGTTTCCCACAGATTTGAATTCTCTTTGTGAGGGTAGCACAGTTTTGTGAGTGTTTCAATGGAGGAGGGACAAGCACACTAAACAGTTCTGTTTATTAGGGCTCCTTGATTATGGTAAAGGTATGGTAATCATAATCTGAAGTATTTTGTTCAGTGTTGGGATTGCAGTTATTTACCATCATATAGGCATTGGAAAAATGTAGCTTTAATCTGTTTGTCCACTTCGGGGTTGTGAGTGGGCTGGATTCTGTCTCAGCTGTCCGTAGGATGACAGGGTGGAATGCACACTGGACAGGTCGCCAGTCTGTTGCAGGGCATTCATGCTCACATTTAATTCAGAATCCTCAATTAACTTAACCCATGCATGTCTTTGGACTGTGGGAGGAAGTCAGAGTGGCTGGAGAGAACCACCAACCAGACTGGGTTCAGTACCAGGAACTTCTGGCTGTGATGTAACCTTGCTAACCACTACACCGCTGTGCTGCCTGCAATTTCCTTAGTCTTTTAATTATATTTCAACACAACTAAAAAACTTAAAGGCAAAATGAGCACGTGATTGCAAAACAGTGTCATTTTCATTAGAATTTAATTTGATTAAATACACAGCCTTACAGTGGATTTATGTCTCTGTTCCCAAATCTGTAATGTCCACTTGCATAGGCTATTTTGTAAGTTCTATATAGATTCATTTCCGATGTGTGTATTAAGCTTTACTTGGATTGGTTGGATTTAGCAGCTTTAGCAACTTAAGGAGTTATACTCAGGAAGGGGGAACCATTTGCTGTTATCTATTGGGGTACAGAGAATAATACCAATAGAACCAATTGCGGTAGTCATGTAAATCCTGATATTATGATTTAGAATGAGACAGTTATTCATTACCACAATGGTGTTATAATTAACTGCACA